ACATCAAACCCTATTTATATCACATCATACAACTATTCAAATTCAAAATTTTTACTATTCAAATTCCAACTCAAAATCCAAACCCTCAAACAAACACACCCTTAGTGAATTTCTAGAGTGGTTCACTCTGGCTTCGCTGCGGCGGATATCTGGTCGCTGGCGTGGGCACAAGCGGAAAGAGCGTCGTTTGCCGAGCCAAAGCGCCGTCGATTAGCTTTCAACACTTAAGTTTTTCTGGACCAAAAACATCGCTTAAAAGGGCCAACAAATGTTAATAATCTCAACAGACGCGCTATGGATCATACCAATCGAAACAATTCAATAAGGTATGCTATAAATCAGATATTGTGATGGTTTTCACATAAAAATTTAAGTAATACACAGCTTTGTCAAGCGAAAAATATGCTATTATTTGGAGTTATAATTAGATTTATGCATTATAGATTAATTTGTTTTTATTTCAATCTAACGTGTGTGTATATATATATATATAAGTTCCTAATTTTGATTATAATGTAGTATCAGAATCTACTTTCCTCTTTTAAGTAGATAGTCTACTAACTCGTATCTTCTAGTTATCGCTACCGGTCTTAATTTATGATTTTCTGGTATTACACGAAAAAATCAGATATTGTGATGGTTTTCACATAAAAATTTAAGTAATACACAGCTTTGTCAAGCGAAAAATATGCTATTATTTGGAGTTATAATTAGATTTATGCATTATAGATTAATTTGTTTTTATTTCAATCTAACGTGTGTGTATATATATATATATAAGTTCCTAATTTTGATTATAATGTAGTATCAGAATCTACTTTCCTCTTTTAAGTAGATAGTCTACTAACTCGTATCTTCTAGTTATCGCTACCGGTCTTAATTTATGATTTTCTGGTATTACACGAAGGTCTCGCGATTTTGAAATTGGAATTTTTCCACCAAGGAGTAGCACAAAAAGATGAATTAGCGTTATTCAATGATAAACCACTACTTCCTCGTTGGGGCTCCGTTCAATGAGAAAACACTGACGCGTCGAAATAGTTGCAAGTCTATTTGCGTTCTGCGAATATGTTTGTGTTTATCTACATTTGACTCCGATTTCATTCAGAGTCCTGCGAATATGTTTGTGTTTGTCTACATTTGACTCCGATTTCATTCAGAGTCCTGTCTGCTTATTGTCTGCAATTTGTCTATATTTAATTCTGACTCTTTGTCAATCTGCATATGAGCCGTCTTTGAGCTTCAATTTGCAATTTGTTTGTGGTTTTGAGTTTTTACTTTGGATTTTTTAATATTAAAAATTTGAATTTGAATAATTGTTTGATATGATATAAATAGATGTTGATATGATATTTTGAATATAAAAAAAAAATTTATTATTCAATTTGATATTTTTGAAGAAAAAATAAATAGTAAAATTTTTTGAAAAATCCACAAAAGAACATAGTCACAATGGTTTTTGCATCCCATGTGAGTTCGAGGAAATGTTAAAATATTTTTAAATATTTAATTTATTATCGAGATATTTAGTTAGATTTTTTTTGGTTTAGATTATAGTTTAGTCTTATCCATTATATATTATGTTGTTTTGGTTTTTTTTTTTTTTTTTTTTTTTTTTTTTTTTTTATGACGTGGAAATCTGCAGCCGCTACACTGGATAAACTCTCGGCCGAATCTAATACCTTGTAAATTAGGTCCGACAGGCAAGTCACACTAGGTGAACTATGTGTGGCAGGTGATCTGAGGCGTCGGGGGTTTTGAATCCATGTTTTGATTTGATTCTATCTTTGATGATTTCAACCCATACTTTGATTATAAATAATAATCAATTTTGTAGGTTTTTGTAAAATAATTTAACGTCACCTTAATTTCAAATTTGAGCATGACTAAAAATAGTTATTTAATATTCATATTAAATTAAACATTAAAATAAATTTTGAAAAAAATTCAAAGATATTGGTGAGAAAAAAGAGAAATTATCAATCTTTTTTGTTCATCATTTCTCTCGTATTGTTAACACACAATCTAAATATATATATATATATATATACTTCTTTCGTCTCACATAAAATGTTCACTTTTTTCATCTTTATTTATCCCATATAATTTGTCTCATTTAACTTCTTTTAAATGATTATACATTTTAATCAATTTTAAATTTAATACTTTATAATTATTTTAATTGTAATTAAATGATTTATTTATCTTAATTTAATCTATAGTTATTTATATTATTAATTATTTATAATATAATTTTTAATTATTTATTAATTATATTTTTTCTAAAATTTTCTATTCATATTAACATAGTCACTTTTAATTACTTGAACGAATGGAGTAAAAATATAACTTATGATAATCAAAATTAAAGCAAAAATAAAACATTAAATAATATAAATTATAAATCAAGTATTAAAATATAAAATCCTAATTTAAATATAAATATAAATTAAATTATACGTACATACACAAAATCTACATTAAATTTTTTAAAATCAAATTATATTTGGAATGAATCTATGTATATTGACTAAAAATAGAAATTATATTGATTTTCTTTTCATCATTTTTATTTAGACGTTAGTGTACAATATGTAATATGATTTCTTTTCAAGATAATTAATTGTTATTATTAAAAATAAATAAATAAATGAACTCATCAAAATAATTATAAAATTCTATATAAAAAAAGTAAATTTTGTGTTGAAATACTTATTTGTGGGATTTTGGTTTTAAATAATAAAATTTTAAATTAAAATAATTATTTGATATGATATAAATATGTATTGATATGTTATTTTATTAATATAAAAGTAAAGTCAAATTTGTTGCTAAAGACCTTTATTAACGCGGTATAGGCGACAAAACTCATTTCGTCGCAAAAACTTTTTTGGTACGAATTCATTACCTTTTGTTACAATTTTTTTTTTTTTTTTTATAGCTAAATTTCAACTATTTTATAGTGATTTATCAATATGAAAATTGATAAGGTTTGGTTCCAAAAGTATGGATAAAGTAAAATTCCTATTTTTTCTAGATCGACACTTTTGTGGGTGATATTTTATTATCTCAAAATAGTATTTGGGATAAAATATTATTTATTTTGGATATTTATTATGATATTAGTAATAAATTTGGATAAAATAGAATCTTAGCTAAATCTAGATTTTGGTAGGAAGTAATATTATGTAGGTTATTTTGGAGTCGGATAATCATCATCGAAATTATTTTTTTCTTTCAGTTTATTTTTCTTTCCTTTTATTTTCTTGCTTTACATTATTGTAATACCCGAGCCGTAACGGAATCATCTTATTAGATGTATGTTTAATGAGTTTGATTGTTTTAACCCTTGTCGATATGTTTATTTTGATCGGATACAAATTTTTGAGTTTTTATTTATTGTTGGTGAAATTGATCTCATTATATAGGCCTTCAAGTTATTTTTCCAATGCCACTAACAGAAAGTCGATTGAATATTGGATAAAAGAGATACATTCAATTTAGTAAAATCTACTCCCTCCGTTCCATTAAATTAGTCCAGTTTTTTTTGGGCACGCAGTTTAAGAAATATTGTGTTAGGTAGTTAATTAGTTTGATTAATGGATGTAATAAAGTGTTATATTAAATATTTTTTATTTGATAAAATGTTAAATTAAAAGTTAAAATATTTTTTATTTTAATTTTTAAATATTGAATTTTTTATTTATTGATATTATTTAAAATAATATAATAATTGTATTTATTGTAAATCAATTCATGCATTTAGATAAAAAAAATTTTTTTTTAATAACTTAAATGTAATTTATACAATAAAAATGTAATAAAAAAAAATTATACAAACAATATATAAAATTTTTCGAATTTGGTTGTTGTTAGAGATAGCTCGTTATGACATACCAAATTTAATACTATATCGCATACGTACGGTACAAATTTTTTGGTATTTTTACCGTACCGTACAAATATTTTGGTATACCGAATTTGCGAATAAAAAATACTGAATTACGGAAATAACATGCATACTCGTAAAAAAAATACCGAAAAAATTTTAAAATTTCAATACAATATGACTTTTTTTGTATGATAAGGTATACAATAATATATTTTCAGTGTATATAGATAATTAAAAAAAATTGGTATTTTTGTATATAGTGATTATTTGGTACAATATCGATATCCTTTTTTAATAAATTAAAAAATTTGGTATGGTATACAATATATATCAATATTTTCGGTATACTATCTCAAACCATCTATAACTGAATTGTATACACGGAATTAGAATATACTATTTTACGTCAAATACCGAAATTAAAAATAAGTTTAAAATTTTGCTTTATAAGTAAGTTCTATTTTTTTTAACAAAGAAAAAAAAATCAATATCAAATCTCATTTTTAATTAATTTTTCAGCCATAAATTTTCAAATCAAACATCAAATTTTTATTATATATTACATTAAAATTTAATTTTAAAATTAAATGAATATTTATATAATATTAAGTATTTATTATTTTTATTATTCAAAATTTTATGTTAACTTCTAAATTTACAATTAACAAATAATAAAACTAAAGATATTAGTAAGTTAATAAAATATAGTTATTTTTTTTAAAAAAAAATTGGAAGTATTAGTTATTAATTATTACTATAATAGGAAAGTAAACTAATTTTGTGGGACGGCTAAAGAAGAAAAAGTGGACTAATTTCGTGGGACGAAGAAAGTATATATTAAGAATTTATGTCACAATGGTTAAATTCCAAAAATTTACTATAAATCATGTATACATTCAATTGATCTGAAATTTTACACATAAATACTATATGAGTTAGCTATTTGTTTTCGCAAACGAGAGGTCAATCGGAGGTTGGACGAGTAGTTATAACTCAAACAATGTCTTAATGTCTAGGTTATCTGGTCACCATATGGTCAAACGATCTTAAAAAAATGTTTTATATATTTTGACAAATTAAAAACCCATCCAATCCTTCTTTCTCCCCCATTTCGTCCTTCGACAATGGATAAAATTCATGGGAGGTTAGAGAATCACTCAATTCCATTCCAAGTCGATTTTTACGGTAAACCTTTCAACTAATTTATATTTTTAGATCTCATTTCCATTCTAAAGTATTATCCAAGCTTTGTTCCTCTTTCCATGGTGGAATTTAAGTTTGACAATGGATGTATTGAGTTCATGTCGAATTCAGCTTGGTTTTGGTTAGTAAATGATTTATTCGAACCTCTTTTTTCGTTTACAGATTGAATTTGATGTCAATTCTGAGAAATTGAGTTTAAGTACGATTTTTCCAAAATTGATTTCTAAATTAGGACTTTAAACTTATTTTGGCATGTGTTAGTGTTAATTGATGGGACTTTCCACGTATTATTGCAATTGGACCTTAATTATACAATTTGATATTTTAAAATTGTAGAATCGATGTCGTTTGACCCGTGTCTTGATTTTTTAGCCTTGTTTGAATGACTTTTGACTTGAAAATAATTTTAAAATGTACTCTAAAGTCTTGTGAATGATTTTGGTAGTTGTTCGATTGAGTTGGGATTGTTTCGGAACCGTGTGTTTGATTTTTTTGTCCGAGTTACCTAGTTTTATGCATTATTATTTTTTGGCATTCGTGTCTTTATTGTGGCTTAACTTTTTGATTTAAGATTGTCCGGAGGTCCCGGTCGGCTTGGGATTGTGCCATATTTCCATTAGGCGAGATAAGTCTACGGTCAAGGTAAGGATTTAAATTATGCATGCTTGAAATGAATGGACCGTTATGATTATGTCTTCGTGATATGTCGTGAACTTGTTGTGATATGATAGTATTAATTGCTAAATGGAGTTGATGTGATATATATTGCATATGATAAATTGTTTACTGCGTTATGAATGTTGATTGACAAGTCGATTGTAAATTGTATTAGTTGTGGATTTGGCTAGACTTAGTCGTTGATTGACAATTTGATTGGTAAATTGTATAAGCCATGGATTTGGCTACACTTATCCGTTGATTGAAAAGTCAATTGATAAATTTTATTAGCCGTGGATTTGGCCAGACTTAGCCGTTAATTAGCAAGACGATTGGTAAATTTTATGAGTCGTGGATTTGGCTAGACTTAGCCGATGATTGGCAAGTCGATTGATAAATTGTATAAGCCGTAGATTTGGCTAGACTCAACCGTTGATTGGCAAGTCGATTGAAAATTGTATTAGCCGTGGATTAGGCCATACTTAGCTGTTGATTGATAAGTCAATTGGTAAATTTTATAAGTCGAGAATTTGGATAGACTTAGTCGTTGATTGACAGGTCGATTGTAAATTGTATTATACATGAATTTTTTCGGACTTAGTCGTTGATTGACAAGTAGATTGGTAAATTGTATAAGTCGTGGATTTGGATAGACTTAGTCGATGATTGACAAGTCGATTGATAAATTGTATAAGCCGTAGATTTGGCTAGACTTAGCCGTTGATTGACAAGTCGATTGCAAATTGGATTAGCCGTGGATTTGGCTAGACTTAACTGTTGATTGATAAGTCAATTGGTAAATTGTATAAACCGTGGATTTGGATAGACTTAGTTGTTGATTTGCAAGTCGATTCTGAATTGTATTAGCCGTGGATTTTTCCAGACTTAGCCGTTGATTGTCAAGTCAATTAATAAATTGTATAAGCCATAGATTTGGATAGACTTAGCCGTTAATTGGAAAGTCAATTGGTAAATTGTGTAAGGCGTAGATTTTGCTAGACTTATCCGTTGATTGACAAGTCAATTGATGAATTGTATGAGCCGTGGATTTGGATAGACATACCCGTTGATTGGCAAGTCAATTGGTAAATTGTGGAAATCGTGGATTTAACTAGACTTAGCCATTTATTGGAAAATCGATTGATAAACATTGTGATAGCCATAGATTTAGCTAGATTTAGCCATTTTGGCAAGTTAATTAATAACTGTGTGAGTAGTTGATTTGACTAGACTTAGTAGTTATTTGACAAGTCGGTTGATCAAGTGAGTGTGCCGTAGATTTTGGATAGTTGTAGTTGTTGTTTGGCTAGCACTTATTGTATATTTAATTCCTTACTCAACTCTTTTTTTGCTAATGTTATTATTTTCTTACATGCAGAGTTGAAATTTAGACATTCATCGACTTGATGCATCATAGAGATGGACTATTATCAATCATGCATTACCTTCTACAATTACATATTTTAAAGTAATTGTGGGTGGTGGTAAAAATATTTTTTGACTTCTACGAAAAAAAAAATAAAATTTATACTTATTTTTATTATGTTTTAGCATTGGCATCGAGACACGGTACGTTCATATGTGATGTTGTTTCGGTTATGGCGTGCAACATTCCCATGATTTTGTTTGAGGTGTTACAATTATTTTCTTACTTTTTTATTTACTTTCTTGCTTATTTTTCTTAATATTTTGCTATTCTTTTGCTCCCCTTTATGTTTCTTTTTAATCCAATTCTTCGCGAACATGATTCCAAATCTTTGATGAAGGAAATTGGAGAGCTCACTCAATTTTTAGCTTGTTTACTTCAATAAACTATCGAAAAATATGTTGAACGATAATAAATAATAATAATAATAATAATAATAATAATAATAAATATTATTATTATTATTAATTTAGTCTATTCAATCTTTATCATGTCTACACCATATATATTTTACAATTTTAGGTTCACAAATAAAGCACTTCCATTTTCAGCATTGGCTCGACAGGTTGAGCATGCAAGCTTCACTAATTTTGAATTATATTATACATAGATCTAATCATTATTAAATTTATAAGCGAATGATTAGTAAACCGTATTTAGCTGCTACAAAAATACAAATATATACTTAAAAAGTATACCGTTTAGAGATTTTATTTAATTAACGTGAACGAATAATACTTTTAGGAGCATACCAAAAAAAAGAAAATGATTAATAAGCAATACTCATAGAAAAAATATGAAAGAACATAGTAATAACAAATTTAAAATACACCCGAAAGGAACCAACAACAATCCAGCAACAAACAAGAACTTGCTAGCTAATTTATTCCGGGTACAATAAAAATAACAACATATAATGGATAGCTCGTTCATGGATCCAACAATCAGAGCCATGAACACGATACAATAAAAGTAAAGGCAAATGTTAAATAGTTGGTTCATGGATCCAATAATCAGGGCCAATGAATGCCAAACACACACACACACACAAGCTAGATAGCTCATTCATGGATGTAATGATCACGGCCCATGAACACGAACTAGTAGCTAATTTATTCAGACACAATAATAAAGACAAGCGCAAACTAGCTAGCTAGTTTGTTCATCACAAGGCGATGAACAAAAACTAGCTTAGCTAATTTAGATAGTAAAAGCTGGGCGTGCGGATTCAATTGAATCTTTTGTTTTTTTGTTGTTGTTTGGAAGAATTTCCTGGTCAGCTTGACGCTTAGGCCCCGGAAGGCGCCTTTTGTTCAGAAAATTTGCGTACCATATGGCCGAGTCCTTTGGATATCTCTTTAAGTCATTAAGGAAGTCAACAAGATAGAGGCCAAATCGCATTGTATATCCTTCCATCCACTCAAAGTTGTCAAACAACGACCACACGTAGTACCCCATCACCCGCACGTCTTCCCTATCGCCATCACCATTAAATTTAATTATGTTAAGCATACTATCGAAATAGGTTGGAATCCTCAACGCCAATTCTTTCCCGCCCCTTACCACTACAAGCAACCTATACATACAAAAAAAATTGTATGTATTGCTGTTGAGTGCAAGGACAATGGGGATGGAAAGGATTCGAGCACTAAAGATTCTTTCCGCATCAAAATTTATGAGTTATTTTACATAAATACTTTTGAAGTTTTGAAAATATTTAAAAACAATAGAAAGTTAAGTATTTAATATGATATTTTATGGCAAAATAGATATTTGATGTCATAGTCTTTAAAAACATTATTGTAAATGAATACTGTTAAAATTTTCAAAAATATCTATGTAATGGGGCCTATGTGTACATATATATATGTGTGTATATATATGAATGTATTAACTTACTCTATGGCTAGCCTCAAGTATGCCAAATGTTTGACAAGGTAATCAATTCGGTCCTTGTCGTGCAATGCTTGGCTAACCGTTAGTTTGGGATTGTTTTCCTCCTCACATCCTGTTATGTACATAATAAATATTGGGACATGGATAATACCATTTTACAAATATTGAAGACGTACCATTCTCTGTAATGTAGATGACAGGATTGCCATATGTAGTCTTAATGTGCTTAAGAAGCCCAAGTATGCCCCGTGGAACATGGACCAACCATCCCTCCCCAACCTGATATTATTGTTGTATTCGTTAAATGTCTTATGCTTTATTTTTCTTTTGTACTTGGCAAAATCCTTTTTCTTAAATGATAAATTTAATTTAATTCTTTTATTATTTTTGAAATAATACAAGAAACACAATCGAGAGAATATCCTGATTACATATTAATTGATACATACCCTTTTGCCAATCTTGACCTTCTTGCCATTCTGATCTTGCCATTCACCTTATTAATAAAATAAAACATTACTTAATTAGCATCAACAATGTCTAAAAAAAAAAAAACACAAAACAAAACATAAACAAAAACAAAACAAAAAAGAGAGAGAAAAAAAAGAAATTCAATAATTAATTGCGTGAAGTAAAATAAAAATTACAAATTGAGCCATCTATATAAACTCAATTATCATTTTTATCATGTATGTTTAATTTCTTCGGCTTGTTTTGGTCATATATTTACATCTAAAAAAATATTGTCGGTAAAACATATAAAATAAGTAATAATTGACCATAAATACAATATTAAATCTGCAATTTTCATGCAGCGATCGACTATAAAATTTTGATTAGAAGATAGGTTTGGTTGGCGATGCTTACAGAGTTCTTCTACTTCTTGATCTATGGTATGAGACGGCACCGTGCCCTCTGGGGTTGGCTTATGTTTAGCCCAATAGGTCGTGTAATAATTCACTCCGATGAAGTCGAAGGACCCCCTCACCATAGTCGATTCCTTATCGTTAAACTTGGGTAGGCGGTCGCCGACTTTCAGCTTCATCACGTCCGGATAATCGCCCCTCACGAGGGGTTCCATAAACCTGAAGATTGAATATTGAACTTATAACAAGAGTATGTAATAAGAGAAAAAATAAAAATGTATGAACTTAAATTTACTTATGTCAAAAAATTTATCTCAAATACAAAAATTAAAGGTTACCGTACCCTTATTGATTATTATAAGGCTGCTCCGATCCGCTTACTTTTGGGGTTTGTTTACTTTTGGTTTGAAATTAAATTAAAATAACAACATCTAGCATATTATCATTCCTTTGTATGGGTCTCAATAAATAAAATATATTATTCCAAAATTATTATATAGGATAATTGTTGGTGTTTTGGGAAGAAGGAAGATAGAAAGATAGCATACCATCCCCAGTTGAAGTCGATGGCTCTGGAGGCAGCGTCGATGTCTTCTTTGGTTTTAGTGAGGGGCTCGTACCAGAAGCTGGTGTTGCTGATCCCTATCTGGCCCTGTTGTTTCGCCTGGAAATGCTGTCTGTAGATTTGGACAGCCTTTGCGTGAGCCAGAAGTAGGTTATGAGCGTACACGTACGGCACCGTCCCGGCGCCATCAGGGCTGATTTCCGAGTGATGCGTTCGGATGAAGTCCCTGTACGGCAACGGCAGCTCGTCCACCGGAATTTGGGTGGGCTCTCCCGTCGGCGAGAAAGTGTCCAGAAGGTACTTTTTAATGGCGTACGACCGTGGCTCGTTTATGGTGATCCACGTATCCACGCGATCACCGAATTCCGAGAAGCACACTTGCGCGTACGCCGCAAAATCATCGCTGTTATTTTGATCATCAAAATCTAAATAAGAGACATGAAACAAATTTTGATACCATAAAATCTAAATCTAAATCTAAATCTGAATCTACTGATAAGTTTAGTTAGAATATAGTAAAAGGGATAATTTGAGAGTATTGATAAATTTGTTTTGTTATAGATATTAATTCATATTAGTATTATATATGGATTGGTTACTTACATGATGCGAGGGCTGAGGAAGCCGCCATACTCATCATCGAGGCATTGAGGGAGGTCCCAATGGAAGATGGTCACACACGGCTTAATCTCTGCACACACGCATATATATATATACATCCTTTCAATAAATATGCATGGTTGTAACCAACTTGTAATCTCATTCTTAAGATATATATATATATATACACAATTCCAAAATTAGATTTAAATCTTACTTTGGGAGAGCAAGAGATTGATGAGATCGTTGTAGAAGTTGATCCCTTCCTGGTTGACCCCGGCGCTCAGCTTCCCACCTTATGTATGTATATATGACGACGATGAAGAATAAGTTGATCAAATTATTGACACATGCATGCATGCATGCAAGGAGTGCGTGTGCATGTGTGTACGTAGCAGTAGCAGGTACCTGGTAGTATTCGGCACCATGAAATGGAAAACCTGTAAGTGTCTATCCCGAGTCTCTTCATGAGCGCCACGTCTTCCTGAAACCTGTTGTAGTGGTCGATGGCCACGCACCCGTTGGCGCCGCCCTTGATACGACCTGCACAAATATGTATGCATGTTTTAAACAATTACAGTTAATATTATTATTATTATTATTGTTTCATTAATGAATTTAATTAGGTACCAGGAGTGTTGAGGGTGACGGAGTCCCAGTAGGAGAGGGACTTCCCGGCGTGGGCATAAGCGCCTTCGATCTGATAGGCGGAGGTGGCGGCGCCCCAGAGGAACCCCGGCGGGAAGCTGTGGCGGGAAAGGCCGCCATTGATGTACCTTTCTACCTGCTTCTGGTTCAACAGCACTTGCAGCTCATCCTCCTCGCTTGGGATTGGGACTGGGACTGGGGCTGGGGCTGGGGTCACTGCAGCTTCATCGTCTTGGATAACATGCTTCTCCTGCGGGCTTGCCGCTGCAGGGAGGCTATGTTTCTCTGATCGTGGCTGCTCCTCCTCCTCGCCCATGGAGTTAATTAATTATGGAAACGGAAATGGTGAAGAGTAGGCAGGCGGGGGAGGAATATATATTGGGTAGTAATGGATGAATTGCCATTCACCACTGCACATCTATTTATAGGGGATTCTCGCACCCCCCCCCCCCCCCATTAATTAAATATTATTATTATTATTATTATTATTATTATTATTATTATTATGATACAGATAATCAATCATGTGCCAATTAATCACTAATTTACTAATTAATGATCAGCCAAACGAGTTATTCGTTGTTCTATTTGTTTATCCCTTTGGAATCATC